TTACATATAAACACAGTTGGTTATGTCTAAAGTGAAAGTAAACAGTTGAGAGAGAAACGGATGCGTGCAGCTCTTAAAGGGACAGTACTAAACATGCCGCTTGTCTTTGAAGGAATAGTTCACCCAAAAATTACATTTCTGCCATTATTTTTTATTTTATATTTTGTTGAGGTGTAGCAGGTGTTATGTTTCTGCACTCTTCCATTTTTAGAAAATAAAGAAAAAATTAGCTTGTACATAGCATTGTTTTGTTTAAAAATATTTTTGTGATGGTTTGTATTTTTTGTGCTCTTTGGAACATCAATGTTTGTTTAAGTGATGAACTCCATTACTTGTGTTTGTTTTCAGACATGATAACAGACGTTTTATATTTGTGCTACAACTTTTTGGCCTGTGCTACAAAATTTTCAACCTCTGTAGCACCAGTGCTATGTGAAAAAAAGGTTAACGTACAGCCCTGCACATATATTCAAATCAATTCCAGTAGCCTGGCAATTTCTCCCGGTGCTCCCAATCCGGGCCATTTGCATGCGCAACATAGAGTATACTCTCAAAATATTATTACTTTAATTGCTACGATTTAATTCTCATAATTTTGACTTTATTCTCAAAATATTTAAACTTTATTCTTGTAATTTTGACTTTATTCTCTAAATATTTTGCCTTTAATTTTGCAATTTTGACTTTTTTCTCTAAATATTAACACTTTAATCTCGTAATTTTATATATTTTATATATATTTTATATATATATATATATATATATATATATATATATATATATATATATATATATATATATATATATATAGATTTTGACTTTATTCTCTAAATATTTTGCCTTTAATTTTGCAATTTTGACTTTTTTCTCTAAATATTAACACTTTAATCTCGTAATTTTATATATTTTATATATATTTTATATATATATATATATATATATATATATATATATATATTATTTTTTTTTCTTCTGTAGTATCAGGCTTAAGATCTCATGCTGCTCCTGTTCTGAAGGTCTAACCCTCTTCAGCAGATCTGAGTGTTTATTAATGATCTCTGCTTCATTTAAGCAGAATCTGAACATACTGCAGAGGCTGAAGCATAATCACAACAAATCTATTTCAGAATATTATCTATAATGTATTATTCACTGAAACAGAAGCTGTTTTACGTGATGTCACACACTTCTGCTGGACAAACAGAGTTTCTGTGTTTAATCTGTTTACATCCAGAACGAGCGAGAGTTGTGTTTCCCTCAGATGAAGAGCGCTGCATTCGTGCTGCTGCACACTTGAGGAGGGCAGGAGGAGCCGCTGAGAGCTGCTGCTGACAGACCGGATCCTAATGACCCCGCTGAGAGCCACGGGGCCCAGCCAGAGAAAGACACCATATGCTGCAGCCCGCCGAGCCAAAACGGCCCTTCAGCAGCTGTTAGAGACCGCAGAGCCACCCAAAATACACTGTCCTGACAGAGCCGAGCCTCTGTGTGTGTGTGTGTGTGTGTGTGCGTGAGTGTGTGTCTCTGTGTGTGTGCGCGTGAGTGTGTGTGTGTGTGTGTGTGTGTGTGTGCGTGAGTGTGTGTCTCTGTGTGTGTGCGCGTGAGGGTGTGTGTGTGTGTGTGTGTGTGTGCGTGAGTGTGTGTCTCTGTGTGTGTGCGCGTGAGGGTGTGTGTGTGTGTGTGTGTGTGTGCGTGAGTGTGTGTCTCTGTGTGTGTGCGCGTGAGGGTGTGTGTGTGTGTGTGTGTGTGTGCGTGAGTGTGTGTCTCTGTGTGTGTGCGCGTGAGTGTGTGTGTGTGTGTGTGTGTGTGTGTGCTCGTGAGTGTGTGTGTGTGTGTGTGTGTGTGTGCGCGCGTTTTTGTGACATATGAGGACACAAATTTGTATAATGACATGGGTATGACAGGTATTATAAGGAGAAGGTGGCTTATGAGGACATTACCCCATGTCCCCATTTTTCAAAAAGCTTATAAATCATACAGAGTGAGTTTTGTAGAGTGAAGGTAAAAATGCAGAAAGTCTCCTGTGAGGGGTAGGTTTAGGGGTAGGGTTGGTGTAGGGCAATAGAACATACGGTCTGTACAGTAT